GTTTTGTTATATTGTTTTATTAATATAAATGTTACTTTTATTTTTCTTATATTTACCTATGATCTATAAAGGGCGGCATATTATGTTTTTCTATCTAATCTTTATTTGATATTGAGAGAGAGAGTAATTCATGACTCTCATCCCACGACAGATAAGAGTTTTATGGCAATTTGTTTGACTTAGTAAATATGGCTAATACACGATATAAAGATGACTCATATTTTTAATTTGCAAACCATTTCCCGTTCCGGCCCTACTCCGTAATTATCTAATTATTATTCTGCCGAGCAGCTCATTCGATAACATTTTCTAAAACAAAAAATTTATTAAAACTCCTTTATAAAAGGTACATAATTTAAAAATCCAATCGGGCTATATCACAAAACGTTTTCGGAATCCATGTTCCATCAACAGTGTCTAGGTGTACATGTTCTTCTTCTTCAAGTTTCGCTCCTATCGGAGATTGGAAATCATTCTGGCAATTATAATTTTGTTGGTTACGCGCCTGAATAGTTCAATTGAGCTGCGTCCAAACCATTCACGGAGATTGCGTAGCCACGAGCCACGTCTTCCTACGCTTCTTCTGCCTTTGATTTTACCCTGCATTATATTCCTTAGTAGTTCGTATTTTTCACCTCTCATGATATGCCCCAAGTATTCCTATTTCCTGATTTTTATGGAATTTAAAACTTCGCATTGTTTTCCTAGTTGTTCGAGAACTTGTTCGTTTTTTTTGCGATCCATCTATGATATTTTCAAATGACGTCAGTAAGACCACATTTCGAATGCTTTCAGGTTTTTAATGTTGGATTTTTTAAGTATCCAAGCTTCAACCCCATACAAAAGGCTAGAGAAAATATAACATCGAAGCATTCTTATCCGGAGCGATATATTGATATCGCGATTACAAAAAAGTTTTTTCATTCTATTAAAAGTTGACCGTGCAATTTCAATGCGGCATCTTATTTCTTTTGTCTGATCAGTATCTTCTGTGATCCATGCTCCAAGGTATTTGTACGAAGATATTTGTTCAATTTCTGTATTATCTAGTACTAGCTTAACTTTGATGTTTTGTGCTTTTGTAAATACCATGAACTTGGTTTTCTTCAAATTTATTTTTAGTCCATAATCGTTGCAATATATATTTAGCTGTTCAGCAAGGTGTTGCAGTTCTTCTAGTGTTCCTGCAGAAGGACGGTGTCGTCAGCATATCTTATGTTATTAAGTGGCTCACCGTTTATTATAAGGCCCTCACTGACCTCGGCAAGCGCTAATTCTGAGATGGCTTCACTGTATAAATTGAATAACAAGGGTGATAAAATACACCCTTGGCGGACCCCACGGCGAATCTGGATATCCTCGGTCAGTTCATTTTCAACTTTCACTTTTGCTGTTTGGTTCCAATAGAGGTTACATATGATTCTAATGTCTCTACTGTCTATGTTTTTATTTAATAAAAGTTCTTTAAGCCGATTATGCTGCACTTTGTCAAATGCCTTTTCAAAATCAATGAAACGAGCATATACTTCCTAATTTATATCTAAGCGAAAGAACACTCACTGCAAACAGTGCATCTCGAGTTGCCAGTCCTTTTCTAAATCCCATTTGTGTATTACTTATGCCTTCATCTAATTTCTTATGTATTCTATTGTGAATTACTTTTAAAAACAATTTCAAGACATGACTCATTAAGGCTATGGTGCGATGTTCATTGAACTCCTTTGCATTGGCTTCTTTGGGAAGCAGTATGAATGTTGATTGGAGCCATTCTTTAGGTATTATACCTGTTCTATATATGGTATTAAATAGATCCAAAAGAAGATCAATAGATTCAGTATTCACAATTTTGAGTAATTCGATAGGAACTTCATCAGGCCAGGGAGATTTATACCTTTAGCTTGTTTCATTGCATATTAATTTCTTCTCGTATAATGTCAGGCCCAGTATCATCCTTAAATTCTTTTGGTGCTTCTGTTCTCTCTTTGTCTTCAAAAAGTTGTGATATATATTGTGTCCATCTCTGCATTTTTTTGTTTATATCTTTTATAAGTGCACCACTTTCATCTCTTAGTTGCCTAGTTTGAAGTGTTTTTCTCATTCCTGTTAATTCTCTAATTCTTTTATGCATGTTAAAAAAGTCATATTTTTTCTCAATTTCTTTTAGTTCTTGGCACTGCTCATGTAACGATCTCTCCTTCTTTTTATTCTCTTTTTAATTAATCGATCAGTTTCATTATATTTAATTGGATTTTTTATTTTAAATGATTTTCTTTCAGTCAATAATAGTAGTATTTCTTCAGTCATCTAGTCTTTATGTTTTCGTTTATTTGCTGTTTTAATTATTGCTATTTTTATATTTTCACATTTAGGTGTACATGTATTGAGCCACTAAATATCTGGGTAAAAACCCGTTAAAAGTTATCTGTTTAAATTTAGTTTACATTATATGGCATTATATATTAAGATCTTAAAGTTACCAGTGGATTTGGTAACATAGCGATGTATGACTCCATAAGAACTTGCTGGTCCTGAGACTTTGTCTTTTTTACCCAGATATTTAGTGGCTCAATACATGTACACCTAGACATTGATGATGGAATATGGATTCCGAAAACGTTTTGTGATATAGCCCGATTGGGTTTTTAAATTATATACCTTTTATAAATGATTTTTAATACATTTTTTTTTAGAAAATGATATCGAATGAGCTGCTCGGCAGAATAATTAGATAATTATGGAGAAGGAACGGAACGGGAACATGGTATAGAGCCAACTACAGGAAGTTAGATTCTTTGTGGATTTTCTAAAACAATCCAGTTTGCTTCCTCGCTGAGAAAACATCGTACCTAATTATTGTTGTTATCTTCTTCTTCTTCTTCTCGTGCCACTCCTAGCGGAGATTGGAAATCATCATGGCCACTGCGACTTTGTTAACAGCGCGCCTGAAAAGTTCAATCGAACTACACCGGAACCATTCACGTAGATTACGAAGCCACGATATTTTTCTTCTTCCCACACTTCTTTTGCCCTTAATTTTGCCCTGCATGATGTTTCTTAAAAGTTCGTACTTTTCACCTCTCACAATGTGCCCCAAGTATTCCATCTTTCTAGTTTTTATCTCATTTAGAATTTCGCATCTTTTGTCTAAAGTTTGGAGTACTTGCGTGTTAGTGACGCGGTCCATCCATGATATTCTGAGAATGCGCCTATAGCACCACATCTCGAAAGCTTCGATGTTTTTTATGGTCAACTGTTTTAGTGTCCAAGCCTCAACTCCATATAACAGGGTAGAAAAGACATAACACCGCAGCATTCGTATTCGTAACTTTATATTGATATCACGATTGCAAAAGAGTTTGCGCATTCTATTAAAGACTGATCTAGCGATTTCTATTCTACATCTAATCTCTTTTGTTTGATCAGTATCGTCTGTGATCCAAGCACCTAGATATTTATAACAGGGCACACGCTCAATCGTTGTATTGTCTATTACAAGATTAGCTCTGATGTTCTTTGATTTCGTGATTACCATAAATTTAGTTTTTTTCAAATTAATTTTCAAGCCGTAACTGTTACAGTATATATTGAGACTTTGAACGAGATGTTGTAGTTCTACTAGCGTTCCCGTTAGGAGAACTGTATCGTCAGCATACCTTATATTGTTGATCGTCTCACCATTTATTATCAGACCAAGATCTTCTTCCTCGAGTGCTTGTTCACAGATAGCTTCACTATACAGATTAAATAAAAGTGGCGATAAGATACATCCCTGCCGGACTCCTCGACGGATTTGAATTTCTTCTGTTAGTCTGCCCTCAACCTTGACATTTGCTGTTTGATTCCAATATAGATTGCATATAATTCGAATATCTCGGCTGTCTATATTTTTCTTTATTAGAACTTGTCTTAGTGGTTCATGTTGTACTTTGTCAAAGGCCTTTTCGAAATCAATAAAGCAGGCGTAAATTTCTTGGTTGTTGTCATAGTAAATCACAAATGTCCGTCTAAATTATAAGGTGGAATATAAGGGAATACCATAATAATAATTAAAAATACGTTTTATTTAATGCTTCTTTTTCCACTTCGGAAATTATTCTCAAAACACAAATGAAGTATTGTAACTAATATATAAGGACTACAAGAAAATATTTTAAGAACCTTACACGGTAAAAATGTGAAAAAGGTGGAACTATGAAGCAACAAAAAATATCCCTTAAGGCTTAGAAAACCTATCAATGAAGACGAAAATTATACCGTTATAAAAAGGAAAGTACATTCTTTTTATTTTAATGTCGCAACTATAAGTTACAGACAAAATTATTTAATAGTTTCTAATTCCCCCAGTGCTTTCTGATGCACAGTACGTCGCCCTCTACAAAACCAATTACAGAAATTTTGTTTCTGGAAGTATTTTCAAATTTCAATGTAATCCACTCGTTTTCGGTCGAGGATGATCCAACGGAAAAAGTTTTCCACAACTCCGTGATTATAAAAAAGGGACTCACGACTAATTTTTTTGGTGAAATTTATCCAGATCTAGAGAAATTTGGTCGTTTATAGCTCTTTATATTTCACTACTACATAGGTTCTTATGGTGGCGTCACATGATATGTATGATGACGCCTCAATTTTTTCCAGATCTAAGAAAAATGTTTTATTGAGCCAATAAGCTTAAATTGTTTTAGTTCTTCAAAAGTACTTTAGATATGTGTTGTAACAGTACCCTGCATAACTTTTTCTAATATATAACAGTTGCCTTTTTAAAATTGCTAATGAAATACCCTGTTCAGTTTTTCTATTAATTGTTATATTAATTTTTTATAATTATTTTCGTTAGGTTCAACAACAAATAAGATTATATGAAGTAACTGGTTTCAAATTGTTACAGTTATCATTTCACTTGTTCACAAACCACAAATTTTTTAGTCACATTTTATTTCAGCTTCATAGGCCTTTTGGTGGAAGCCACATGATTTATTTAGCCAACGATTGGATATTCTTTATTTACCACGGTATATTTCTATTATTCTATCTTGATCAACGTACTCGAAGATATGAGGAGCATCCATTAGGATACCTACAGTTCCTGCTGTAGTAACTATAAAAAACATGTACAGTTGAAGTCTGTCTATCACCATCGCCACATATTTCCAGTCTTCTCGAGTCTGAAACAACAAAATAGTGTATAGCAAGTTGCTATTAGGTAGTTGTCTTAAACTACTTATGAGTTGTGGAGTCTCGAAAAGAAAATTGGACTTGCACTTTCTTAAAATATAATAAATTAAATTAACCCATTAACGGCCAAGCACAGAAATACTGCAATAATATATAATATATTTTATTAACTAGGGTGAAATAAACTTAAACATTCGTAAAAAAATTGTTTTACACTTTGATAATGACAGGTGTCACAACAAAAAAATGGTTCGTTTTCGAACCTTTGGCGGAAGTGAGATATAAAAATTGAAATACACATTTTTATTTTTTGTGAAAAGTCTCAAAACATTTAGAGTGTAAATGGACCTGGCATTTTTGACAAACAAAAACAGTATGGTTAGAACACTCCCTGCACCTTCTTCTTGCATTTTCTGCATGCTTTACTACTAAATGACCTATCTTATCTTTTCGGATTTCATCTGGTAAGCTATTTTTTGACGGTCTACCCATGTTTACTGTCAACGGTACAGTTGACTTTTCATCTTCTTCACTCTCATTCTGGTCTAATTCTTCTTGTTTTTCATCTTCCGATTTCATTAGACAAACAACAATATATGACCGAAAATCGATTTGGGAAATGGAGCTTTTATTTGCCAATCTGTAAAGTTTCCAGGCATTTACAATGGAACTATCAATTACGTTTTTAAAAAGTGGCCACCACCATTTCTTTCCTCGTACAGCAATCCTGTAATTCGCTATGCCGTTGTCATGTAAGTCAACGCCGCCCATACATCTATTGTATTCTTGGATAACATTTGGAATAAGTATATTTACTTCTTTACGCTGCTTGCGATCGTACCTCTTTGCAAAGCCTATGCGACGGACCGGACAGTTATTGGAGATTACTGTTACGACTGAGTTGTCATTCCATCTAACTACAGACACTTCAGCTTCTTTGTCAAAAACGAAGTCGAACGACCCTCTATCTTTTTTAGAAATATTTTTAGATGTTTACAGTGGACACTTTTCAATCCTGTTTTCTCGCACTGTGCCAGTTGCATAAATTCCCTTTTCTTTCAATATTGTGAACAGCTTATAAGATGAAAAGAAGTTGTCAAAAAATACCCTGTGGTTAGAGGGAGTTTCTACAACACTTAGTAATTTTAATACTACATCAGCACCCAAGCCTAAATCTGATTTTGTTGTGCTAGCACCACCGTAGGGGATAAACTGGAATAGGTATCCATCAGATGAACAGAGGCACCATAACTTATACCCAAAACGCACAGGTTTTCCCTTTATAAACATTTTTGCAGAGTGCCTTCCAAAATAGGGTACCATTTCTTCGTCTATAGATAAATTATATGCGAAAATACCAAATTGCAGGAATTTTCGATTCATTATGTCGATAAAGGGGCGAAGTTTGCAAATTTATCATTTTGTGTAATACCGTATTATCACTTACGTGAATATACTTTTTGATACGCCGAAATTTATTTCTACTCATGCAGTTCCTAATGAATGTCACGTTCTTATCCTGGTCCTTGCTCCAGTACATATCTATTTGTGGCAAGGTGTGATATCCTGTAAGAATGAGTATTCCCAAAAACCTTTTCAGTGATGCATTTGTCAAATGAAAATCATGACAATTATTATCGTGGGCATATTTTATGGTAAAATTAACCATAAGGTTGTAAACTTCATCATCGAAGAAGAGCTGGAAACATTCGTAAGGGGTTTTTCCGGCGACACGGTTCTCAATTTCTATCCCTTTTTCAATTTCATGTGATTGTGGTGCTGATGAAAATGTAGGATCAGTTTTTGTAGACCATTTTGGAGTTGTCACACTACATACTTTACGTTTTTTATTTGATTTGCTTGTTGTTGGTTCGACATCGAATGAATCCTTAGTAGGAATCTCTACAAAGCCGGCAACTTCAGAATTACTTGTGGAAGGTTCCAGAAGCACGGTATCTTTAGCAGAAATCTCAAATGTACCGGCAATCTCTCGAATCTCATTGTCACCTACAACGTCACGTAATAGATGATATAAAATTAAAAAATAGTGAATAGGTTACCTGTTACAACATCATCATCAATCATTTCTTCATCTGTTAATTCGTCACAGTCTGGAGGTATTATAGCTATTTCTGCGACCCCATCATCATTATCACTGAGATTCTCCAATTCGGCTTCTAATTCCAATAAAGTTAGAGCCCTTTTAGGGTTATTTTTCCAAATCGACATATTGTCTACAACACTACACAACCTCCCAGCCCTAGATTATAACAAAACTGAATACCAGAATATCCGTCTTTCTAACACAACATATAATAAAGAAATATCCCATCAAACGAGAGGCACGTGTGCGCAGTGAAATAACTGCGTGTGCGTCACCTTGAAATTCCTGACCAGACAAGATTCGAAGTCGACTTCCGCCAATGGTTCGTTATCGAACCATTATTTTCAAACACGAGATTTGATGACTGAAAAATTTTTTTTTTGTATTTTTATAACAATTGACGTACACATAGGTTAAAAAAATCAAGTGTGAATTTATTTGACCAGAAAAGTGTTTTACCAATAAAATTACTACACTAAAAATAAAGTGGTGTCGAAGGATTGAAAATGTCGGATATTTAGAAAATATTTTTGTAAAGAAAAAATGAGTTTGGAGATTAACTAAAATTAAATTTAGTTACACTTATACCTTCTGGTTGCTCAAAAACTGCGAAGATTAAAAAAAAATTACGTATTGCCAATAAAAAATTTTACAAAAAAATGGTGCGTTTTCGCACCATTGGCTCTAAATCGGTTAAAAACTTACCTGTATATATAAATCCTCGTTGCGTAAATGTTCTGCTATGAATTCTACAGCTTCTGTAGCTTTCGATGCTTCAGGAGACAGTAGAATAGAATCGGAACTCTCGCTCTCCCTTCTACAGCTATCTCCTCCAACTCCCACTCCGAGATCAGCGGCATTTGGTTTTCTATTGATCTTACAGTTGGGGTGGTGGTGTAAGTCAGACAACTCCATTACCTCCACTTTACTTTGGGACTCGATAGAGCTAAATTAAAATTTTTAAATTAAATAATATTACTAAATATTCATATGCCATTCACCTTATATTTTTTGGGATATCCGTAGGTGACCCATATGGATGTGGAGGTACACCCATTCCTGGCATCTCCATCATCCAGCGCAATCTAGTTTTGCGAGGTCTTTTCATAAGCAACATTGCAGGAAGGTAGTTAAGGAACACAGACCTAATCCAAGAAGGCATCCTGAAACGAATATTTCAACATATGATAGGAGCTATAATGTAAAAGGTTTATTTTCTATGGGAGCCGTTTATTCTATACCGGTCGTACTGCAGCCAATTGGTTTCTTGTAAATCTTGCATTAACCATTATATAAACTTATAGAACTTCGACAGTTTTGCTATTTAACCCTTTCAGCATCCTCGGGATAAATATGTCCCACTTAAGTTTAAAAATATTCACTGGTTCAAATGCGTCCCGATTTAAACGTAGTGCTGCTCTAGTGGTATTCTTAGTAAAAAAGCAAAAAAAAAAACTCAATTGACAACATTGCGTGATCTTCGACATCAGTTATAGATTTATTTTCATACGTGCCCGACGATTTAATGCATTTAAGTTAGCTTTTTACTATTTTCATCGAGATTTGTGAACGTTGAGTGAATATTTTTCTGCATTTATATCAGTAATACAGAATATTTTAATATAGTATAGTATTTTGATAGAAATATTCCTGATTTTCTAAGAATAATGCTAGTGGGACAATATTGTCCCAGTGCTATTTTTAAGGCGGACATATTTAACCTATTGGTTTTTTGGCAGTATGTCGAAACGAGGTCTTTCTGAAAAGGAACTTCAATGTTTAGCTAATAAAACTATAAGACAGAGGCAATATCTTCTGATTTGGATGATCAAGAAGACCAAGAAATCAACAGCGATGCTGAACGACTTTCTGGAAAGGAAGATGGAGATCTCGCAGATAATGAAGTGCCGGTGCCGATAATAAATCAGCATCAAAGTAACAAAGAGTAAAATATAATATGGTCTACCCTAAACGACAGCTTTCGTCCAAGATTACAGATTCCTCCAATAAACACCTGTGAGATAGATCTTCTTCTTCTTCTTCTTCTTAAAGTGCCCTCTCCTCAATGGAGGTTGGCTACTACAATTTTAAACTCTTCTCTATCTTCAGCTGTTCTTATTAGCTGTTCAAAATTTAGCCCTGTCCATTGTCGGATGTTTCTGAGCCACGATAGTCTTTTCCTTCCTAGGCCTCTCTTTCCCTCGATTTTTCCTTTCACTATAAGTTGGGCATATTGGTACTTATTATTTCTCAGTATGTGGCCTAGGTATGATGTTTTTCTAACTTTTACTGTGTTAAAAAGTTCTCTTTCCTTGCCTATTCTATGCAGCACTTCTTCGTTTGAGGTATGCGATGTCCATGAAATTTTGAGTATTCTCCGGTAGATCCACATTTCAAAGGCCTCCAATTTATTTACGGTTGATGTTTTAAGGGTCCACGTTTCAACTGCATATAGAAGAGTCGACCAGACGTAGCATTTTGATAAACGTAGTCGAATTTCGAGTTTTATTCGAGAATCACAAAGCAGTTTTTTTATTTTTTCGAAAGATTTTCTGGCCTGTTCTATTCTCGATCTTATTTCTAGATCAGGATTTAGGCTGCTATCGATCCAACATCCCAGGTACTTAAATCTATTGACCTGTTCTAAAATGTGCCCATTTATTGTGCAAGGTTGAGGTACGTTTTGGTTTTTTCGGATTGACATCACTTTGGTTTTTTTAATGTTTATTTTCATACCAAATTGCTCACAGGTCGAGTTGGTCTTGTCGATGAGTCGTTGTAGACCTAAGTCGGAATCCGCAATTAACACTGTATGCATCGGCGTATCTGATACTGTTGATATTTACGCCATTCACATTGACTCCATCCTTGGAATCCTCCAATGCTTCTTTAAATAGAAACTCGGAGTAAGGATTAAACAGCAGAGGCAACAGAATACATCCTTGTCTAACTCCCCTCCTAATTTATACTTCTGCGGATGTGGAATCTTCGATCCTAACTCTGGCATTTTGGTTCCAGTACAAGTTTTTTAAGAATTTGATGTCTTTTCCATCTAAACCGACTTCTTGCAAACGTTCTAATAATAGGTCGTGTCTTACTCTATCAAATGCTTTTTCGAAGTCTATAAAGCATATAAATATATCTTTCTGTTGGTCGTAGAATTTTTGGGCGAGAACTAGTAAACTGAACAGGTCTTCTCTCGTTTCCATGCCGGCTCTGAATCCAATCTTTCGCACTTTCTATAGATACGATTATGTACGATTTTTAGTAGCACTTTTACTGCATGACTCATAAGCCAATCTTGGGGTATTTTACCTGTATCATAAATGCGATTGAATAAAAGGACAAATATTTCGATATTTTCTTCGCTGATTAATTTTAACGTTTCTGGGTATATTCCGTCTGGACCTGGGCTTTTATTTGTTTTGAGATGATTAATTGCATTTATGATTTCAGATTTCAGAATTGTTGGCCCTTCGTTGTTATTTTCCAATCTTGGTTCTTCTCGTATGTCGTGAAAAAGAATTTTAATATAGTTTTCCCATTCTTTTAGTTTATCTTCCGTTGATTCTAGCAGTTTGCAGATGTAAACTCTTTTACCTTTTTATGTAAATTAAAAAAATCGTGCCTTTGTTGCATTTCTTCTATTTAAACGCATTTTGTTTCCAGCCATTTCTCTTTTGCTTCGGTTATTTTTTTTCGAATTATTCTATTTAGTCTTTTGTATTCTCCGTCCTTGTCATTTTTTCCTTTAGATTCTCTTCGTTTGTTCATTAATTGTAAAATCTCTTCTGTCATCCATTCCTGTTTGTTATTTCTAGGTGTTACTTTTAGATGTTTTTCCGTTACATTGTTCATTTGTTCATTAATAGTTTTCCACAAAACGTTTATGTCATCGTACTCGCTAATTCTATTGTGGTCGATATTTCCTAAATTTTTGTTTAATTCTTTATTTACTGTCTGATATATGGTGTTGTTTTTCAATAATTGGATGTCTAATAGTTGGTGTTGAGGTTTTTGTTTCTTTATTAGTTTCCATCTTGCGCGAATTTTTGCAACAATGTCAGTTCCAGGATATGTTTTTGCACTGATGATTGCATTGTGATATCTTTTGTTGACCAATATGTAATCTATTTGGTTACGGATTACTCTGTTTTCATTGTGTTGTGGTGAAGTCCAAGTGTACAATCTGCGAGGGTGTAATTTAAATCATGTATTTGTCGCTATCATGTTGTGTTGTTGGCAGATAGATAATGAGGTAAAAAGATCTTTGAAACCGATAGATATTTTTAGATATGTTTACTCCCAGTTTGTTTATTTTTATTTCCAAATCCAATAATAAGAGATTAAAAATTTATAAAAAACAAAACAATTGCTAAAACCGATATCGGGGAGATTGTAATAAATTTGGGTTGCTCTGGTTCTTCAAGGTGGAGTATTGATGAAAGCATGGTAAAATTTAAAGAGCGTTCTGCATTAAAACAGTACTTAATTACGAAGCTCGTCAAAAGGGGTATTCAAATATGGGTAAAAAGTGACGCTTCCACTAGTTACACCTATGACATAAATGTGTATGCTAAGAAGGAAGATGGACAAGTTGATGAAATGCTTGGTGAGAGAGACGTGCATAAATCAGCTAGTACAATAACGTCTAAAGACATAGTACTATGCTTTGACATATTGTTTATCTTAATTAAGCTCATGAAAGAGATTCCATTTCCATCTGAAGGTACGGTTATTACAAACAGAAAAATCTACCAAAGCTCTCTAAAAAATTGATTAGAGGAGAATCTAAGTTTGTTGGAAATAAATATGGTATAATTTGTGCAAAGTGGTAAGATACCAAGGAAGTCCTAATATTAGTAATTGTCATGGAGATTATGGAATGGAATTATAACTGTACTGCGCCGTGATAAGGATGGGGTCAGAAAATATGTTGCCTACCAGAGACAATTAGCTTTTACAACAATTTAATAAAAGGAGTAGATTTAGCCAATCAAATGGCAGGTTTATACGACATTGATCGCAGATCGGGAAAATGGTGAAAAAAGGTGTTTTTAGACTGATTATGGTTGCTGCTGTAAACAGTTTGGTAATCTGCAACAATTTTCATAGTAAAAAATAGCTTTTCTTGAATTTTTAATACCTCTAGCTGAAGAGCTGGTTAAATTTGGAAAGGCTACGTAAAAAGTTCACATAAGAAGAAGGTCCAAGAGGACAAAAAGCATGATAAATATAGAAGAAATCTGCTATTCGAGAGTTGAACACATCGACGTTATGCAAGACGTTCCCAACAGAAAAGAGAAAAACGAACTTCAACAAAATGTGCAAATTCCACTTTGCAGAAACTGCTTTACGCCATACCACACTTAACACTGTAAAATGTTAAATAACTTTTAAAGAACACTTGGATCTTTTTCCATGGGCTGCCACTAGGATATATATGTCACAGTAAACAACACCAATGGGACACGTATATCCCATCTGTCATGTCAAAATTAAGAAAAAATCTTATGCAAACCTGTTTGCGTAACCTAATTACATACAAAAAGCTCAGAAATTACGATATGAACTCAGTTTATTTAAGTAACAAAAGTGGATATGAAAGGGTTAATAATCTTTCCGCCAACATCTGATATACCTTTTAGTTGTATACCTTGGAGGTACCAAAAGTTTTGTAGACTTTGCAGGTTTTAGGATCCTGGTTTGGGCTCATTCGAAACCTGAGACAATTCAATTATTAAAATGAATCGTTTTAGGTGAATTCTTTTACTTCTCGGTTTCGATATTTTTTATAAGTTATTAAGTTATAGTTGTTAAGGATTCCACATGTCCTTATAGAAATCGTTTTATTTTCTGTCTGTCAGTCAATTCGTCTGTGCGATAACTGTTGAACAAAAAATTTTCTAATTTTGAAAGATGGTACACAGGTTTTGGGCATAAAAAATGAACTGTACTGAATTTTGGTTTAATAAGTCTCATTTTTCTTCTCATTTCCTAATGCCTTTTCTTTTTGTTGAAGAAAAAGTCCTAAAATCATAATAATTTTAACAGCAGTTTCTCTTAATATAAGCTTAAAAGCTACTATATTTGAAGCAATACGTCTTCATACCCTTCTAATATTTTATGCCTATTTTATTTTCTTAAAGAAAACTCCCATAGTCTCGAAATTTGGTATATAAGTTCCCCTTTGTGTAGAATCGAAGTGTTCTTGTTTTTCTCATATGTTTATGACTTTTCTTTTTCTTAAAGAAAAAATTATATATTCTTAAAACTTGGAACATTGGCACCTCTTGGTCAAAGGAAAAATCCTATTGACACTATAAGGCAGATGTTATGCACATTTCCAGTTTATCGAATCAAGCACATCGTAAACTGTATGTCGTGCAAAAGAATGACACTACTTATGAGTTTTTCTGGAATGTTTTTTTGATATTGAGAAGTAGGCGTTTTTAGATATGAGTTTTGAAATTTAGTAAATAGTATAAAAAAGAACCCTCCTCAATTTGGAGTTAAAAGCTCTTTATATTTTTCATATTATGCTTTTCCTTTTTTACTTAAGGAAAAGTCCTAGAGTTTTGAGACTTTTACATCTCTTGATGCAAGAAAGAAAGCTATTGAATCTGCGACGTCTTCTTTGTCTTCTTCTCAGATTTTTACGCCTTTTATTTTTCTTAAAGAACAAATCATATACATAGTCTTGAAACTTGGTTCATGGTTCCTTTTGATCCACAGAAGAACTATAGTAAACCTGCGAGGCAAATGATATGAGTTTTCTTATTAAGGCTGTTTTCTCGGTGCACCAAAATTTTTTCTCTGTTATTTACCGACAAAATGTCTCAAATGACAAAATGACAAAATTTGGACATGTTATTCGAAATTATGTTGCCTTTAAAATGATGAATTACTATTAAACTGGGAATAAGCCACAATTAAAGATAAAAATACGTTTATTGACGTTTCAATTTCCACTTCGGAAATCGTTCTCAAAATACAAACGATTTTTTTTTGAGAACGATTTTGAGAACGATTTCCGAAGTGGAAATTGAAACGTCAATAAACGTATTTTTATCTTTAATTGTGGCTTATTCCCAGTTTAATAGTAATTAATTTACAATGCCACAAGAAAATAGCTTTAGAACAATATTAAAAATGATGGTTTTACTTTTTTATTTTTTTGAAACTTCTGTTGAAAAATTGGATTATACTGTTTAACGTTCTATTATAACCAAACTTTTTACGCCCATCACTTGAAAGAGTTTTTTTTTGTAATCGTTGATTTTTTTTCACCTTTCTGTGTCCAGTAATAATCGAGAAAAGCGTATTCCAACTTTGAAGAAAATTGCTAAAAAATACTGAAATCTAATAGTGAAACGTGTTACTCATCATTGTCGCCGTTATCGCGTTCGTGACGTCAAATCTCATGAACGTACGGTACGGTCAGTTAGTTCGCTTGAATCAGAATCCATTTTCAGTTCTTCATTCTTGTATTTTCCTTATCAACTTGCTTAGTTTTTACAGTTTACAGTATTCTTATTTATTTTGAAAACATTGAAATTTTTTAGTTTACGGGTATGTTTAAGTAATATATTATTAGTTTAGTGGTATAAGTTACTAAATAACTTCTTGAAATCATTTTAAAGCTATAACTGCGAAATTGTTTATTTGTTTGTGACAACAAATTGTAATTTTTTTGATAATAATATTCTTATGTTATTTTAAATTTATTATAAATAAACACCATGGTGTTTTTTGCAGTCACGTTTCACAAATTTTTATTCAATACTATAGTTAGCTAAGACATATAACTTAAAAATGTGATAATTCTTTTTAAAACATTATCTACGATAATCAATCTAAAAAAGTATTCCGACAAAACTAATTTGAATGGAGAATAATGCATTTATTGTCATTAAACAACCCGTGGGCCGGCGCCACTGAGTAAACATCGAAACAAGTTAACACTGCAGATTTCAAATTAGGAAGTCACGTAGGTCCTGACGTAAGCAGTGTAGAAAAGTAAGTGATACGCCTACTTCAAATCGCAGTGTGCTTTAACTGCGAAAATAGCCTTAACTACACCCAAGCACATCTTGATCCCATATAGATGGATAGATCCACATGGAATCTAGCATGTGAAGAAGAAATACGTCACTTGGTGAGATTTTCTCGAATGTTTGTGCTTCATACTTACAAGGAGGCATTTTAAAGTATTGGAATATCACTTAAAGTTAATGTTAGGATCAGATTTTTTAAAGTTCAAACTGAATTTTGTTTTGGGTTCATACATTGTTAATGCTACCACTGAATACTCTGACCTTTAGATTCTGTTACGCAATGAACACCAGTATTCATCATTAGTGATAATTGCAGCAATATTGGAATCTAATTAGCAACTTTGTAAAAACCAAGACTATTTAAAGCTGATACTCAACTTTGGAAAATCTTAATAGTAATATTTTATACATAAACCAATTTTCGGCTCCAAATTGCGTTACATGCCTTACTAGTGCTGTAGAAAATAATAATATGTTTCCGTTAAAAAATAAGTGGAATAAATGTGGTAAATGATCAAAAATAAACTCACCTGTGTGTTCGGGGACCTCGGAAATTCCAATTGATTATAACAACTGTTACTAAAATACTAACGGTATTCATTATAAAAGTGAAAAGAAGATATTTTGCAATAAGTGGTAATACGAGCGATGTCGGTGGCAGGATTTTTGATACCAGCAAAAGGAATACAACCAGTGATAGCAAAATACTAATACCCAGTGTAACCTGAAATTAAATTTATTATAAAATTAGTTATTTTTGGTGCCCTTTACACTAGAAAGGGTCCATGGTTTTATTTAAAAATAATGCTTACCTTTTCACCTGCTTCGGCTGGTAAATAAAACACAAGTACGCAAAGAAACGAAATCAAAACGGTTGGGAGTATCAAATTGACGGTATAAAATAACGTTTTTCGACGAATAATTATGTAAAAAGTGATGTCAGTTTCAGTTGGGTGATTTCCTTCGTATATATTGAGGTAGGCTGGGACTTCGATAATGTCCCACGTTCCAGATTTCCAATAATCCGATAAATCTACGAAATTTTTGTTATTGTATAATGCTAGTGACACCTGGTCGCCATTAAATGTCCAGGACCCGAATTTCATAATGCACGTTTGTTGATCGAAAGGGAAATATGTTACATCTATAGTACAAGAACTCTGAAAAAGAAAACAGTTATAGTAAATACATATATTCATATTCATACCACTACCTATATCATAGACCATTTTAAATACAAAAGAACCCAAAAAAGAGAGTTATTCATAAGGAAAATTGGTACATCTCAGTTAAGGGCGTGAATAGACAAAAATAATATATTATAAGACAGTTAACTCAACAATTCATCGAACGGATCTATACAACAATACAAATTCCTTTAACTACGCCTAGGACCTCCTTCGATGAAAGATATTACTGAATTGTTGAAAATTTTCCAGAGGCTTAATGTACACCTCTGTCATCCAAACATCCAAATCTTTACGCATTATAAGGTAAGCATCTATGATTATCACTTCAAAGGCGCTATGGATTCTAACAAATGGCATCATGGTGCTTAAGTTCAGCGTTTTTTTCTTTGAATTTCTCTAAACCTTCAAATAAAGCATCGCGACTGTTTTGTATAGTGGTATCGTACCATTCGTAATTAGAAGATTGGCCAATATTAACTCACGGTTCGTCCAAATATATCATATTACGTTGCAAACGTCGTATAGTTCTCAAATAATTAGAAAATTAGAAACAGACATGGATTAGAAACGAGCATGGACATTAAAAATATCCACCATTAATCGTCTGGAGGCCTTTGAAATGTGGCTGCACAGACGTATACTAAAAATTCCATGGACGACTATGCTGACAAATGTGGCAGTCCTTGAGAGAGCAAATGCTGCTCGCGAGCTGCTTGATAACATCAAATGTAAAAAGATGGCCTATTTTGGGCACGTAGTAAGGGGAGACCGATATAATATTCTTCAACTTATTATGATGGGTAAAATCGAAGGACGCAGAGGAATTGGTAGAAAGCAGGCCTCTTGGTTGAAGAATATCAGAGAGTGGACAGGAATAAAGAAAGCTGAGCAACTCTTTAGAATAGCTCGAGACAGAGACAGTTTCGCCATGTTAATCGCCAACGTCAAGGGGACTTGATAGGGCACCCTATCCCAGGTTTGGGGATAGAAATATGAAATGATGAAGGAAGAAGTATACTTGACTTTGCAGTGGCATGGGATTTAGCTGTCATTAATACGTTCTTTATGAAGACTGGAGACCAGTATGTTACCTATAGGAGCAGGGGAGGGAAAGTCAGATAGATAGTCAGCTAAAAGAGGTTACGAACTGTAAAGTGATAAAGGGGAGTGTGTAGCTATTCAACACCGACCGGTTATAGTGGATACGGAGATAAATGTGAGGAGGAAAGAAAAGCAAGTAGGACGCCAGAAAAAGAAGTGCTGGAAGTTAAAGGGTAAGGATTTGGAAATAGTCTTTAAGAGTAGAGTGGAAGAGCTTGAGGAAAAAGATACGCTAAATGACTGGTGAGAAACCAACAGTAAAATTGTGGTACGAGTGGGAGAGGAAGTGCTAGAAAAAACATCTGGTAAAGGGCTTCCTAAAGACAAAGAACTTAGTGGTGGAACGATGAGATGCAACAGAAGGTTAGAGAGAAGAAAGGGCTAGAAAGAGGTATGACAGGTCTAAAAGAGAGAAGATAAGGATATATACAAGGTAGCAAAGCGCGCTATAGCTACTGCTAAGGAAACATTGTCTGCACAGCTGTATGAAGAGTTGGAAACACCCGAGGGATGAAAAGGTTATACAGCATTGCTAAAGCAAGGGATAAGTCATCCAAGGACTTGATCCACGTGCGGCAGATTAAGAGTGCGAATGGAAGAGTGTTAAGAATCGATGTTAAAATAAAGCAATGGTATGAGTACTTAAGTAAATAGCTAAATGAAGCACACCAGAGGAGAGGCAGAGGATTGGAGATCCCAAATGATAATCTATTACCGGTAAAAGCAAGAGATGAACTTGTCGAGACGTTCTTCTTCTTTCAGTGCCTATTCGTTCCGAATATTGGCAATCATTCTGGCTATAATTATTTTATTAACTGCTGCTTTAAATAAATTCGTTGTTGTTGTGGAGAACCATTTCCTCAGGTTCTTCAACCATGATATTCTCCTTCTCCCAATTCCTCGCTTTACGAATACTTTACCCTGTAGGATTACCTTCAGTAATCGTATTTAGTGCTGTTTCTCATTATATGTCCGAGATATTCCAACTTTCTCCTTTTAATGGTATACATCACCTCTCTTTCTTTGCCCACTCTTCGTAATACGGTCTCGTTGGTTATCTTGTCTGTCCATGATATCCTTAGAATTCGCATGTATAGCCACATCTCGAAGGCTTCAAGTTTTTTCTCCATTGCTTCAGTTAGTGTACAGGATTCAACTCCGTAATACAATATTGAGAAGATATAACATCGTAGGAGCCTTACTTTTATCTCCAGATTAAGATTGTGGCTTTTAAAGAGTTTGGCCATGTTATTGAATGCACTCCTAGCCTTCTCTATTCTACATTTTATTTCCTGTGAGTGATCCCATTGTTTATTTACTGTTGTTCCAAGATAGTTATACTGTTTTACTCGGTCCACTGGTGTATTATTGATAAGTAGTTGAGCGGCTCTAACTTTATTTTTGCTGATGATCATAAATTTAGTTTTTGTTATATTTACTTGAAGTCCAAATCTTTCACTTAAAACGGTAAGGTAGTAGGACTTGATGAAATACCTGTGGAGGTTTCGAACATAAGCTTAAGATTTAAGATTTAAGACTTAAGATTTACAAGGCCCAAGCAAGGAAGAAATAACATCATAGTAATATAAATTAAACAAGGAGAAAAAAATCAAAACCGACGTAATCAAGAAAACAGAGTCATATTAAAGAAATGGCTATAGTTATAAAAACAATAGATACTATACTATTAAAAGAAACCAAAAAAACGAATGTGAACGCAAAGGTACTACCTTCAATAACCACAAAAAAAAATAGAGAAGGCAATTTGAGATATGACATGGAATAACGCTGCTAGGAAAAATAAAATTGAAATTTTAGAGACTATGGTAAGATGTTATTTAAACACTTTTTTTTCACTTTTGATTATGCGTGAACTCGATTAAACTCTCATCATATTTGGTTTTATTATACAGTGTGAACCATTTATATATAGAGTGGAAACACCTCTATAAAATTTGAAGTTGGTAATCGATTTTAAGAAAGTTTTCAAATGTCATGTAATAAAAAGTCTACTTTGGGACATAATTTAAAATGTTTATTCAAATTTTAAGATTTGAATCATTTTTCTTAGTCGAAAATAAAAAAAAACATATAAATTATTTTATTAAAAAAATTTCTACGCCACTGGGTTTAAAGTGGGTTCAAATAGCTACGACAAAAATTTCATAAAAACATATTAATTAGTAACGAAGTTAGGACAATTTAAAATTTCACAACTCGCTAAGCTCCGACTCACAAAAGAGCACCCTGTATCAACAGATAGCCATGAAAATTATTATTTATTAAATAATATTTTAAAATATTTTATATTTGGGTCAGTGGATGAAAGATAGAATAGGTTTTGTTTCGATTTACTTTTATTTGATCAAATATATTATGGATTAAATTAATAAATTATTTCAATAATTGCTTTCGTTATCCTAATCTATTCCAATTAGGCTCAATCAATATTTTAGAATAATCCAAGACAAGTTCACTTTATTATTATTGTAAACTAAATATGCATAATTAAATGCAAATTATTTCATTTAATTATGTATATTTGCTTTAAAATATTTAAGCTCGGATGATAAAATGGATATTTCAGAAAGCCATAAATGGAGAACAGCTCCCAAAGGAATGAACGGAGGCATATATAATATTTATATTTAAGAAAAAGATAGAAAACGATGCAAAAACTACAGAGGAATAGGCTTAATATCATCAATAGGAAGATTGTATGGGAAGATACTGCAAGAAAATATAGAGCAAGCGATAACAGGCAAAATCGGAGAGGACAAGGCAGGCTTCACGGCAGGTAGATCATGCATAGACCATATATACACACTGGAACAACTGTTGGAAAAGAAAAAAAGCAAAAAAGCAAAAAATAGAGATATACACTTGGCATTTGTAGACCTGAGGAAGGCGTATGACTCGGTGCCAAGGTCAGAACTATGGGAGACAATATACAAATTAGAAATACAGACGGAACTAATAGAATCTACAAAAGCTCTGTATAAAGAAAGTAAAGTGTCTATAAAATGGGAACAAGAAAAATAGGTGACTTCACTACAACAAAATTACTCTGCAGGGTTGTTCCACATCTGCATGTGGCCTTGACTACATGGAAAAGAAAATGCGAAGGCATGGGAGTACCGGTACGAAACGAATACCTATATACGTTAAGCTTTGCAGACGATCAAGTAGTGATTGCACAAGACCAAGAAGACCTCAGTTACATGATGAAGAAACTACAAGAAGAATATACCAAGGCTGGCCTAGATATTAACCTCGCGAAAACAGAGTACCTATCTACAAGTGAAGAAGACATAGAAGATCTACAGATTGATGACAACGTAACAATCAAAGGAAAGGATAAATTCAAATACTTGGGTTTATAATCACGAAAAAGGCAACAACAGAGAGAGAAATTAAGCAAAGATTAGGACAAACAAGAACAGCAATCCGACAACTTAACTCAGTATGGTGGGATATACACCTAAATATGAAGACAAAAACACAGATTTATAAAACATTAGTGCATAGTATTATGACATATGGAGCTGAAAATTGGATTATAAACAAGAAAACAGCAGTAAGATAGTAGCAACAGAGATGTAATGCCTGAGAAGATGCTGCAGAGTGACAATAATGGCTAGCAAAAAATAATGGAATAACGAAATAACCAAAATGGGGTAGACCATGTGGTCAACATATTAAGAGATAAATCACCATCTTGGCAGAAGAAGTATCGGACGACCAAGCAAAAGATTGAGTGACAACCTTCCATAGAGGTGTCAATCCGCCAATGAGCAAGCAGGATTACTTATAAAGAGGAGGAGAAAGAAAAAGAAGACTCAATAATTCTGGAATGCTATACCAGATTAAGCAGGTGTAGTGAATGGGCATCATACGTTTGTAGAGTCACTTGGCAGGCTTCAAAAAATACTTGCCACCTGCAACCTAGTGCAGTCGTTGTAGTTGTAGTCGTACAAAATATAGTCTTATGCAAAGACCTGTAGCCTAAAGTCTGTCTAAAGCAGCTATATTATGTGAAGGTGTCACTTGACTGGTACATGTCCAGCAAGAAAACCTGTTATGATTTTAAATTATTTCCTATCTGTTTTCGCAGTAATTCAGCTCTATTGGCACATGAAATATACATTTTACCATATGTTTGACTGGGTAGATTTTCCTAGTGGTAATTATGTTGTGTTCGGAGCCAGGCTCTCATCTGTTCGCATACAGTGCTTTTTGGCATGCCTACGGATAATTCAGGACCAAAGTATTTTGTATATTAGCAAGTAATTATTTTGGGACTCCCAAGAACACTAGGACTGATTTTGCCTTCTAAACTGGGATTGTTGCAGAAGAGCTGTAGAAAATACCTGTGAGTTTAATTCAAACATGACCAATGAGTAGTACACAGCAATTATACCACCAAAGTACCGTATGAATCAGTACTATACTATCATAAATAAAATCAGTAGTACAGATGTGTATAGCAACTTCACTATTCTACAGAGACCAGTGTACAAGGAACATATTAGTATCAATAAATGGTAAATAAATGGTATGGTAAACATGAAGACTTTAATTATGTGTTAAACAAACATTTACATAAACAGCATACTCGAGGAATCCTTTATGTATCAATAAAAAGCTATCTATTTGTATAAGGTTTGAAATTATTAATGTTTCTAGCAAACTATAACATTAAAATCGTTAAATCAATCAGCAGCCATGTGGTCAGCGATTACGAAGCAAACATTAATTATAAAAGTTAACCTCCACCGTCCCAACAATTGTCTCCTTACAAAAATTACCTGGTAAATTGCTGGCGGAACCCACAGGACTTCACCATTAGGATAAATTAAAACATTAGATTTATATCTAACTTCGTAGTTGCCATCGGCACTGAAAAAGAAAAAAGTTATCTTGAAGTATATAATTAACACTGCGGATATTTAACTATATCCTAGTATTTTTTGCTTTCATCACTATTTAAATAACTTTAAATGTAAGTAGTATACATTATTTTTTCTACGACTTAATTTTTTGTATTTTTTTATGCACAATAATTAAAAAATAATTCATGTGTTGATCTCTTAGATTAAAGAAACCAATCTAAGTATCTTTAATCTAAGGTTGATCTAAGGACCGATTGATCGAACGCTAATCAAAACTTGATTGTAATCAAATATTTAATTACAATCAAATATGTCACAGCAGCTGTCAAAATTATTAAAAATTGCTTATTATTATTAGTATTATTGATTTGTAAATAAAAACATAAAATTAACATTAGAAAGAGTTTAATTATGGTTTATTTTAAATTATAACGCAAAATAATAAAATTGAATAAAATAAATCAGTCAACATAACCCCAAAATGTGACGTATTTGATTTTAATTAAATATTTGATTACAATCAAGTTTTGACTAGCGTTAGAACAATTGGCCCTAATAGTAAGAAGCTAATACAAATTGTGTAAAATACAATGTAGAATGGGATGCGTAGTACCAGATGCAATCAAACGAAGTTACTGATGACAGTGTGATATGTCTACTAACAAGATTTTGTTTTTGACACAACTTAAAAAAATTAAAAAACTTAGAAAACGGCTTCGGCCATCAAAAAATTTACAAAACACTAACAAAAACAAAAGCCACCCAAGAAAACTAACAAAACCACAAAAGCCAGGCACAAAGAACTCACATCCTTGAGCACCAAGCAGCCGAACTGGGGATAGCCCAGACCGAAGACTTGAGTCCCGAGCAGCAATTTCAGTTCAAAGATACGTCAATAGAGAAAGCAGGAAAAAATCGTCTCGGGTTAGGACATTGTGTTGGAGTTCTTGTATCCACGACTCCCACACGACAACCACTTGGCTGATAAGAAAGCCCCTATCGCGCATCAGAGTGCTGTAGGGGAGAAAGGAATGATCTGAAGTATATTGGAGCGCGGATAAGTGGTTCCTGGTTTCACGAATTAATACACATCGCTCTGAATTGTAACACCCAAACGTCATTCAAAGACGTACGCAAGTGTCTCAGGCTGGGTTTAATCAAATTGCTGCTGCTGCAAAGAAGCATTCCACACAAACAAGAACTTTAGATATTTGGAAAGGAAATCTGAAAAATTATACAAAAATAAAGTACTGTCAGATTACAAAAACTAGAGATAATGATCCAATGGGTTTTATAGTACAATACTGAAGGAAAATATAGAGCAAATAGTAAAGGAGACAATTGGTGTAGACCAGCTAGAAACAAGTACAAGGATTGTTTATCAAAATGCAAACGAAATTCTCAGGAAACTTCAATAGAACAAAGTGTGATTAAGTAGTAGTAAATAGTGATTGAAAAGGATCTGCATATTAAACATTGCACACAGTGCAGAAAATTGGACAGTAAATAAAAACAGTAATAAGATAACTGAACAATAAATAAAAATTAGCAATGAGCTAACTGTAATAGAGGTTTAATATTTTACAGAACGCTGCCTTTTTGTGTTCTTTGTCTTCTAACATCACTAATAAAAATGCATGCAATGTAAAGAACAATAACGAGGAACAGGAACATGAAATATAACATCGCTGAAGGCAAAAGAGATTAAACTGACACAGGAAATGGAAGAAAATAAAGTAACATTAGGTATAAGTAAAACAAAGAAGAAGGAAAAAGAAAGCTGGCAAATAAGAAATAAACATACTTTACACGATCTTTATTTTTAATTTCTATCTGGTATTAAAATAAATGGTTTTTTTAAAAAGGCCATAAATTGTGTCTATAATATTTATTCTCCTTGTCTATCCTAAAGAAAGCGAGCATCCAGAAACTACTAGAAGCCACAAATTGAAGGTAAAATATTTTTGTTTGTAGTAAAGAACTCTGAGAAATTCAATCGAATTTAATTTAATTTAATTCAATTAAATTTAACTTCAGTTAAACTTATGCAGATCATAATATATATATATATATATATATATATATATATATATATATATATATATATTGTTATGATATGTAAAATCGAGAAAAGTATTGGTTTGCTTAAAATATTTCAAAATTCAAAAACATTAAAATAATTCAGATAAGTCAAATAATGAACAACAAACATTTCGAAGAATGAAAGTCTTTTAATTTTGGATTACCTGTATTTAACAAAACGTAAGATATGCATAAATTATTTTCTTTGTTAAAATATATTTGTATGACGTGAATAAGCTGAAGTGAAATCCATAAGACAATTGAACCGGGTTTTTCCAAATACATTAGTGCAGTGATTAGGACAATAGAATAGATTTTAGAAAGATAGGTTTTTGTTAGTTTTTAAGAATTGGTAGGAAAATATTATTTTGTAAACAATGTTCGGAAATTTTATAATTGTAGGTAAAAATTTGTGTGTTATCGAAATGAAGAAATGGGAGATGGATGACGCGTTTTGATTGGATGAAATTGAAAAAGGTGGGATGATTGGTTTGAGAATGAGACTTTAGTTAGTTTTAGAAACAAAAAAGATAGTCAGTTGGTTTCCAAGGGTAGAAGGCGAACGGCCGTTGTTCTCGGGTAGTTTCCCAGAGGTAGGAAGCAGTAGCAGTGAAAGTTTGTGAGTTTTCGTGTAGTTAGTGTATCTGACAGAAGCTGATCCAGTAAAAGATTGTAAGTTATATTTTCTATTTATATTCCAAGAGTCACTGTTCAGGCCAACGAGAGATTCAGTTTATCGTAAAGAAAAGATATTCCAAGAGTCATTTTTCACTCAGGCCAACGAGAGATTCAGTTTATTGAGAGAAGAAGAAGCTAGCATAATTTGAACGATTCGTGCATTTGAAGGAGATCATTAAGGACGATAAACTTGCAATAATTTGTTGTAAGATTGCTGATTACCTAGGGAGCGGCTGAGAGTAGATAATATAGTCTACAAGGAACAAGGATTTGGACCACTCATCATCAGAGAGAGATAGTTTTGTTTTCTGCAGTTTTTCTTTTATTGATAACACAATTTTTACACTTAATTTAGAAAGGATATAAATATTTTGATTAGGAGATTTAGAATAATATTTGGGATTTTGAGATTTCAACTAATATTGTTTATACCATTAATTTTGAAGGTTCACGTACGTAGAACAAAATTTTAAGAATCATTATATGAGATATTGTTTATTGAAAACATTTGAGTGTGAATTTTATTTCATTATTTTTATTTCAATATATAGTGTTAGATCCTATATGTTTTTTATTATTCCGGTATTCTTTGGACCTTACCTTTCACATGTGAAGCATAGATATTGAAGCACGAATTTAACCCTGAGATAAGAGAATTAAAAAGTGTGATAGAGTCATAATCATATCATTTAAATAATTTTAATTAATTAATTAATTAATTAGCTAATTAATTGTTTGGCGCACTAAGACTTTAAATATCACATTAATTTATATATATATATATATATATATATATATATATATATATATATATATATATATATATATATACGATAGTTTTTTTTGTTTAATTACATTAATTGTGGTATATAATTAAATACAATTCTATACCACACGTTGATGTTCAAGGCGAGGCGTAAGATCTATTTTTGTATTTATTTTATGCAGTTCAAAATTTTCCTGGTTAATTTTATTTTCTATTGATTTGTATGTATTGAAGAACGGAAGGTAAGTAATGATCCGGTTCAAATTTTTATTATATCCAGTTTATTTTCCTCAAAGTCGGAAGGACATAAAATGTCAATAAAATATGACAAAAGAACACAATTCTCTCAGATCTAATATACTAGAAAATTTTTTCGTTCTTCCGTTATACCAAGTGTAAAATAAATATTTGCAAGGTGATGGGTTTCACGTTGAGATGTTGAGAAAAAAATTTGAATCAGCATAAAATCTTAAAATATTTTATTTTATCTGTTTATTAAGGCACAACAATCCTTGAAATGATATCGTAAAGGTGACATTCTAACGTCTTGAGATTTTAAGGTAGTTAGGAGATAAAGCTTGATAAAATTAAGTAATAAATGCAAAAATATCAGCGTCATGAAAAACTAAAAATAAGTTACGGATTATTAAAGGGAAAATATTTATTGATAGGAAAATGCTTAATATTTGAGAGAATAAATGAAATGTCGTTAAAAAGCGTTGGAATCGAACAGTTATGCTCCAAGAGACATTAAGGGATCTGTCGTAAAGAGTTAACCGCAATATTGACTAACAACAAGAACCAAAAGGTAATATATACAAGTTATTAAAATACTGCAAACTAATAAAAGTCAAAGATGTGAAAATGCGCTTATATAGACTCGCCTCATAAGAAGGGATTGAGAGATCTTTCTCAAATTACAGAAGTATAACTAGTGGGTAGCCTAGTTTAATATATCCAATGACGTATAATATATTATACGTCATTGAATATATCCAAAACATGTTTTTGTTTTTAGGTAAAGTGTAAAAATCTTTTATTTCTATCTAATTCGTTACAATTGTTTTATTATTCTAATTACCACGATGATATAAGTTTCCTAAAAGTAAAAATTTAATTTTTATCAACAAGATGAATCTTGAATACATCTTTTCGAAGATGAACAAGTGTGGCAGTGGCAAAATCATGATATTAGTTGTTGTCATTATGATGTCATACCTATTTAAACAAATGGTATAGTTTACAGTTTAAATACAATATTATTATTAATGCTTAAAAGAAATAAAAAATCCTATTTAAGCAATATTACATTAGTTTGTATTTTGAGAAAGATTATATTATGTTATATTATATGAAAAAAAAAACGAGTTTATTCATCTAAATGTATTACCTTACCTGCAGCGAAGATAACATAAAAAAGAAGCACTATGTCTTGAAGGCTTCAAGAAGTCAAAAACTATACAGTGTAATCCAATTGAAAT